AGATTAACTATGGCAGCATTTACCTTGATACTGATTTTGCTCCCAGACTTGTCTGGCTATTTCTGACCCTTTTCTATCAGTTTCCTCCAGAAGTTGCTTTAGACTTGTTGTGGCCTTTCAGACCTTGCTTTGGGCCAATCACTTTGGGGTGGACTTTTAACTTCTGGTGTTTGATTTAGAAACCATATTATCTTTTCTGTTTTGCACACTAACTGTATTAAAGTTCCTTTCATTAAGGTCTTATGTTTTGTCTTAATGCAGCAGATGGCAGAACCTATTTAGAGAGGGTGGGTTTGGGGGTTCAGGGGTGCCCTTCTCTCACTGCCTATAACAGGAGGTCAGTTTTTAAACCACTCTGCTGCATAATAATAGAACAAAAAAAACCCTCAATATTTAAATGTGTTCTTATTTACATGTGAGTGGTGCCATATAAACACTGTACTCTTAGTAGTTCATTTAACCCTGAGCTAGATACTTAGGCCAGTCCACTTCAGATGCATGAGACTGAGGCACAGAGAGGTTAAGTAACTTGCCCATGGTCACACAGGCTTGGTGAAGCTGGGAGGTAAACTCAGCTGAGCTCTGAACTGTTAACTTCCAAAACTAGATAATGAGTTACACCTTTCAAAAGTACAATACAAGTTTTCCTGCTGCAGTCTATTTAGTTCTAGGTGATTAGCACTTTCAGTGGTATCATCTGACCTGTTGCTATTCTGAATTCGGCTGGTGAAAGCAGCTGACACACTTGTGTTAAAGATTCCAAGGCCAGAGTCAGCGCGAAACCAAGAATTGGCCCAGTGAACAGGACTCCATCTCCTCTCAACCAGTGGTGTACCCCTCTCCCCAATCTCCTTGCCTCAAAATAGTAAGTGTGATTTAATGGTTAATGTTTTAAAGAAAATACTCTGGGTGGTTTATGTTTTAAAAATTATGTGAAAGCACCCTGTGGATGATTGGGTATAATTTAGACATTAAAACAAGCCGGTGCATCAAATATTTAATATATTTAATTAAAGGATCAGTTGAAAACATTAGATGAAAAGTCATTTTGATGGAAATGTGGTCTGAGCCTCAACCTCAGGTCTGAGAGTGTGGCAGGGCAGAGCATCATCTTCCAAAGCAAAATATGGTTGTGGATGAATTAGAGAAAGATGCAAGTTGACAGTCTACCTGTTTTCAGAGCTGCTTTTTTTTTTAAGTTACTTTTTAAGGGGCCTTCGCTGGTAGCTCAAGGGGTGAAGTCTCAACACTAGGAAGCAACAGCTTTAGATCCTGGCCAGGGAGCTGACCCACATAGCACAGCAGACCTCTCTTGTTCCACCCTCCCCGACTCCACCACACACCTCTGGCCTATATCCAGTTTTTGTACATAAAAATAAATAAAATCTTTAAAAGAAAGTTACTTTGTAAAATACAATGATTTATTTTTCAGGAATTAGGTACTCCCTTTCTTTTTCTTTTTTCAAGATTTCTTTTATTTACTTATGCATACAAGAACTGGGGTGTAGGCTAGAGGTGTGGGGAGAGATGAAAGGACTCTCCAGAGACAGAGTGGGGAGCAGAACAGGTAGATATATTGAAATTTACTGCTGAGGGGAGCAGCAGGCAAGACAGGAGAGGTCTACAGCACCATGTGGGTCAGCTCCCTGGCCTGGGATAGAACTTAGAATGCAGTGGTTGCAGACAGCTTGGTAGAGCTGAGACTTAACCCCTGGGCCACCAGAGAGGCCCAGGAACTTCCTTTCTAATGTTAACTAGTGAAGAGAAATCTGGAAGGTTGCTCCACCCTTGCTAAGATATGGTGTTTTATTAGTTAGAATGGCAATGAAAAATTTAATACTAGTTTATAGCAGGGGACTGTCATTAACATCATCTGGATTTCTAGCTCTTGTTTTTCTCATGGATAAGCTGTAGTGTAAGTCTAATCCTCGTTTGTTTTTTTTTTTAACATTATACCATATTTTTATAAATCATAGTTGTATTTCCTTTTTTTTTTTAAGATTTATTTATTTATGCATACAAGAACTTGGATACAAGCCAGAGATATGGGGGTGGAGAGGATTCATTAGAGACAGAGTGGGGGGCAGAACTGATGATGTACACTGCTGAGGGGAGCAGCAGGCCAGAACAGGAGAGGTCTGTCATGCCATGTGGGTCAGCTCCCTGCCTGGGGATGTAACTTGTGTGGCAGTGGCTGGTGATAGCTTGATAGAGCTGTCTTTTTTTTTTTTTTCTTTAAGACTTATTTATGTATACAAGAACTGGGACATAAGCTAGAGATGAGGAGTGTGTGAGAGAGAGGATTCACCAGAGAGAGTGGGGAGCAGAACAGGTGGACTGACTGAAATATACTGCTGAGAGGCGCAGAGACAGGAGGTCTGCTGCTACATAAGTGGGGTAGCTCCCTGGCCAGGGATGGAACTTAGTGCTGCAGTGGGCTAGCTTCATAGTGTTGTGTTTTAACCCACTGTGCCACCAGGGTGGGCCCAGAGCTGTGTCTTTATCTGCTTTGCCACCAGGGAGGTCCCACCCTCACTATCCTTTCTAAGAAATCTTTTTAGATTGCTGGTGGGTGGGGCCAACACAGAAGGAGACAGTGGGTCTGGCCCATTCCTTTTATAACTTGTTTTTAAAAGATTTATTTATTTACGCATACAATAACTGGGGTACAGGCCTGAGACATGGGGTGAAAGGATTCATCAGAGTGGGAACAAAAGAAGACGACTAACCAAAATACACTGCTAAGAGGATCAGTGAGACAGGAGAGGTCTGCTGAGCCACATGTCATTTAAGACCTGTGCAAAGGGATGGAACTCATGCTGCACTGGCAGCGGATAGCTTCATAGTGTTGTGCTTTAGCCAGGGAAGGCCCCTTTTTCTGACCTTCTGAGGCCACTTGTTCCTTCTAGCAATTCTCTTCCCCCATCTGTTTCCCCCTTGTTTTTGTTTAAAAATAAATAAAAACAATGAAAAGAAACAAAACCAAAAAAACATATATACCGGAGCAAAACACAAGGCCAGAAAGAGAAAATTGTATAGGCGTGTGCAGATTCATGTGTGAGTGTGCACACATTCAACATGCCCACCTCAATTTATGGAAAAAACTCACTGAACTGGCGATAGATGATGGTAGCATGAAAAGAGCCTCTTTAAAGTAGAGCAAGTTCTCTTCCATTTACCAGAGGAGCTCTGCTTTGATTTTGCAAACAAGTTCTACACTGGTTTAGTAGTAGATGTTCCCTGAGACTGGATGTGTTCCAGGAGATGAGAACATACCTGCGTTGCAGGAGATGAGAACGCACCTGAGGGCAGCCCTGTTCTTGGTTCTGCATCTTCCTAAAGGGGCTGCCAGGCTAAGCTTATTCCCTCTCAAAAGAGCTCCTGCACCCCACCGTGGCTTTGTTCCTTTCAGGAGGTATTTACAGTCTGAGTCTGGGGAATTCAGGATCTTTGTCCAGCATGGTGGATTTCAGGGCTCTTTCTAGGATGATCTTCTAGAAAATGCCCTGAGGGCCCTTCCTGATGGCACAACGGATTAAAGCATACTCCTCTGAAGCTATGGCAGCTACTGCAGCACAAGTTCGATCCCTAGCCAGGGAGATGACCCATATAGCAAGGCTGACCTTTCCTGATCCTCAGCTGCTCCTCTCAGCAGTGTGCTTCTTCCATCTGCCTGTTCTGTGTCTGTGGTGAGTCCTCTCACTCCCACCACTCCCCACACACCTCTAACCTGTATCCCAGTTCTGTATGCATAAACAAATCTTTAAAAAAGAGAAAAATCCCCCGAATTCTGGTGAGCCAAGGATCACAGGAGTTGGGGATGTTTATGTTGTGGTAGTTTTTCCTGCCCCCACCTCCACCTCCCATCTTTATGGTACAGGAGTGGTTATTCAGGTTGGATTCCAAGTTATTATTGTTTATTGAAATATTACTGAAACGGTGAAATTTTGAGCAGTTCTTAAATGGCACATTTCCAAGTTTTGAGAGATAATAAACACCAATATACTTCCCTTTCTTTACTCCCAATGTCCCTTCATGCCCTTTCCTAAACAATTCCCCTTCCTTCCCCAGGGGTACTTTTTCGTGTCCCCACAATTTAGTTTTGCCTGTTCTAGGATTTCCTTTAAATGCAATGACATGGTATGAATGCTTGTTTTGGCCTCTTTGTAACATGACATTTTCTGGGATTCACGTAGGTTGTTGCCTGCACAAGCAGGCCATGTGAGTAAAAAGGACCCAAGATGTCACTAGCAGCTTGACAGTGTTAAGACAGGGACGGCTGCTCCATTGGTGGCCCTCCAGAAAGGATACTCCCTCAACCCTGGTATGTGGCTCTCTTAGCTCTTCCAGTCTCTTTCCAAGGCCAAGCAAGTTCCTTTCCCAGAGCCACCAAGTCAGCCTCGGGCACCACCCAGATGGCCCGGGGCCGTCACCGGGGTAGCTTCCCCAGAACAGCTGCCCTCTGCTTCCCCCTCCCCCATGCGTACTCAAAAGGGAACTGGCCCCTCTGCAGGTCAGAATTCAGATTCGTTTAATTCCACCTATCCAACGGCACACAACTGTGCGATGTTTTGGTGACCACAGACAAGTGAAGTCCTTAAGAAAACGTAAATAGAAAAAAACCCAGAAAGGTGGGGGGGAGGAGGGAACCGAGATCTCACACGCGGTGGATGCCAGCCTCCGTTGAATCAGGATTCAGAATGAAATTTTCTTTTTTTTTTTTTAAATAAACGGAAGAGTCGCTCTCTGCTCCTCGCTCCCAAGGTTTCAAAGGTCGTCACACTGGAGCCCGGGGGCGTTCATCTCCCCTGCGGCCGCGGAGGGGAGGAGGTTGGAGGGAGGAGGGAGGGAGCACACAAAAGCTAGCAGAGCCGAGAGAGGGCTAATGTTTCCTGTTTGCCTGGAACCCCCTCCCCTGTGTCCCCTCCCCCAACCCCCTCCCAGCACTCGGGCGGAAGTGAGTTTGCTCCTTTGGAGATTAAAAGGATTCCGAATTCCGATCAGTCCCAATAACCGGCGTACTGAGAGGAGGAGGAGAAGGAAGAGGCGGCAAAGCAGAGAAAGGGGTGCGCGCGCGCGCACACGCACGCAGCCCGAATTGGGGGAGTAGTGTAAAGCCCCTGGAGGCCAGGGCGCCAGGCGCAAGAAAAAAAGCCCGGTAGGCGCAGCTCCGCGACTGGTTTCTGAAAGAAGATGACGCGGGCGCGGGCCGGCGGCATTGGCCACGCGGCTCCAGAGCTCACCACGCCGCGCCGTTGCCGGCTCCACTGATTCCAGCGCGCCCGGGAGGAGGCTCCGTCCCTACGACTCGGGATCGGAGGGGGGGACCAAGGCGAGGGCGAAATGGCCCGATGACAAAGGAAATGTGATCCCCCTTCGCTGCCAAGGTTTCAGAGAGGACGGACGTGAGGAGGAGGAGGAGGGGCGCGGGGCGCGCGCGGAGCTCGGATAGCATTGCACGACGGCTCGCGCGGAGCGGGCAGCGGGTACATCTAATATCTTCCTGCGGATGAATAATTCAGGACGGCCCGCGGGGACCTGCGGCCCCGCGCTGTAGCGCCGC